TCATCTCGGCCACTGTGGGAAAATCATCAACGTATACCAGTTGATCAGGTGGTGGTGCGTATATAACGCCGTAACCTTTTTCCATATCACAATATATATACATATATACGCGTATATAATGCCATCTGGTCATGGGTCAATGTACATGAATGCAATGCATGAGAAGTACGTCAATAAATCTCTTGGAATGTCATAAGAGTATTATGACTTCGAGTAATATCATGAAGTAAACTTTATCAACTTACGTATTTTTTGAGACCCATGAACAGACGATAGAATAATAAGACTTATGAGAAATCAAGAATCAAGTATCTCTAGCATTTCTACGAATAGAATCATTCATGGAAGTTGTATATTTACTCGTGTTCCATTTGGATCATGCCAAAATAGAAGGAAGAATAACCTTAACATACCTGAGCCGATTATTCACAAAAAATCATTATATTCATACAAAGAGAAGGACATTTGAGGCACGACTACACGAGGCATGAAGAAAACTTCTAGAAGATACGTGCGCAATTAGTTCTCTGATATCCTAGTCAGAGAACAGTAGCAGAATTCCTGCTTCATCTGAACATGATATGCAGAAAACGTCCATAAGAGAGGGCATGATTATTTGTTCTTTCCTCACAGATGTGGCCATGATGAAACTTTAGGAATCATCAAAAACTGAATGCTAATATCCACATGCTGTGGAAAGGTAGAAAATCGCATATCTTACAATGTACAAGTGTAAACCAGGACAATAATAGGCTGGTGTCCATGTATTTTTGTTCTAGCTAATCAAATAATTTTTTTTGTAACTAGGAAGACAAAGAGTCTTTCTTCAACCACGCTTCCAGGTGGAATAAATCAGAAGATTGCAATAGATTTCCTATTCGATAATGGCACCATTACAACAATTTTGTTCTCTGGTGGTAATCAAGTAATAAAAAAAAACGATAAACAAGTAGGATATATTTAAGATTAGACACTGTAATTAACACGTTAGTTGCCACCTAAGGAAATTAACTAAGAGTCACTTTTCCAAGAAGTGGCTTGCTGCCACGTGGGGTAGGGTGGGACATTTTAATATTTATTCACTTATTAGGTAGTTAGGTAATGTCCTAATACCCGATAATTAACTTACCCGCATAATTAAGAATTATCTTGACTTACTTAAAATACTACTCATTTTTAATAAATTTTATATATCATACTATAATATATTTTACTATTATGATTATGTGGTACCATATAAAATTAATACATACACTATTATTTCATTAAAATATCCATGTAAAAATACATATATTTTCTCAACTTCTAATATTTCTAATCTCATATAAGGAGTATAATTTTACGTACACTTAATTCTTACAACGATAAAAAGATAACCTTCCTTTTTTGTGCGAAAATAGTTTCTATCTTACAATAAAGAAAATCTCATAAACTTTCTCATATTAAGAGTATAATTTACCATATCCGAAAATAGTAATAATGGTAACTATCGATAATTATACTTATAAAACTTTTACTAAAATACTTCACTTAAAAGAAAATACCACACTAACATTATACTATATTATAAGTGGGAAGCTCTAAGTCTAAAGTTAAAATACGAAAATAGCCATTAAAAATTAAATGACTATTTTGCCCTTCACTTAAAGAGTACTACTCCAACAATTTTCTTGAATCAAATAGTAAATTACCTTCAAAATTACTGCTTCTATCATAAATGTATGAAGCCATAAATTTATTAAAATTCGTCTTGAAATATATACCATTTAACCCCTTATTTTCATTTCAATAATTGATTAGCCAAATAAATATCATAGATTAGTGTAATGAAGAGTCGTAGTAAATGTGGAAAACGAAAAGTCCTACCAAGGACATTGCACTTTCATTTCTCTATATTGTATCTCTTTCTTTTCCTTCAATTTTGTATCTTCATTATATCTTCATTTTTATCCCCTCGGTTAAGTTACTAATTATATACAGCCAGTCAGCCATCATATCGGCATCACATGTGCTTTGCAGAATCTCAAATAATCCATATTGACCAGTCTAACTTTAAGTGACGTTATCTTTGATGATTGTTGCTATTTAAAAATCTTACATTAAGGATTGGTAATTTAACTCCATTTACTTGTGTCATCCATGCAGATAGAATATTTTTGTAATGATAAAAGATCTTTCTATTTGAAGCAGACTCACTATATTGATATCACTGAATTGTGCAAAAGCTTGATTAACAATGTGGTGTCTCCTGGCACCCATTGTCAGTCATAGGTATTGTTTCCTTTCTAATATAAGAATATTCATTTATATGTTAGTCAAGTATATTTTTCTTTTTCAATAATTTATGTGTTCAATCCACTTAGCACCCACCGTAAGGTAGAATTCATGCACGTTTGCGTAACGTGCGTGTTCAGAAACTAGTAATATCTAATGGTATCAAGGTTGGTAAACTTACAGGGTCTTAATCCCTTCAAGATCATATGGATTACTACGACTTACCCTAATATTAAAGTATGAGATGTTATACTGTTGATACAACGTGTCCCAAGAAGGCGACTGAGCTCAACTAAAACTCGCATTTTGAAAACTTATCATATAACTGACTATCTCTCGGAGTCTGAAGAACGATCCGAAGGTGTTGCTCATGCTGCTCTCGGCTGCGGGAGTAAATCAAAATATCATCAATAAACATAATCACAAAGGAATCCAAACATGGCTTGAACACCCGATTCATCAAATCCATGAATATTTTGTTGGGGCATTTGTCAGCCCAAATGACATCAGTAGAAACTCGTAATACCCATACCGAGTCCGAAAACATGTCTTAGGGACATCGAATGCCCTAATCCTCAACTGATGGTAACTTTGTTCAACTACCGATAATCTATGGACATCCTCATCGATCTATCCTTCTTCTTCACGAACAACCCGAGCACATCCCTAGGTGAGACACTAGGTCTAATAAAGCCCTTATCAAGCAAATCTTGCAACTTCTCCTTCAATTCTGTCACGACCCAAGTTCTTCCTCCGTGAACTATCGTAATGTCACCTAGTCTTTACGACTAGGTAAGCCTAACCATTCGCGAAAAAAGGAAATAAAGATGTGAAACTAACAATTTACGGGTAATATAATAGAACAGTTTAAAATGCCGCTCGACATATATAATAACAGCACTCCGGACCAATATTAACACTCCCAAAACCCGAAATCTCATGAATCACAAACTAGAGGAAATACAAAACGTTCTAACTCCAGAGTGTCTAAACAAAGTAATTACAGAAGATCTATAGCTAAAAGAGAGAATAGAGAGGGATTCCACGGTCTGCGGACGCGACAGATATACCTCGAAGTCTCTGAAAGTCGCCCCACCTCAGTGATAGTATGGTTGAGCTGAAGAACCTGGATCTTCACACGAAAAATATGTGCAGGAAAGGACCTGAGCACACCACAACGGTACCTAGTAAGTGCCAAGCCTAACCTCGATCGGGTAGTGACAAAGAAGGTCAGGGCCCTACTGGTTATATACATAAAACAAGGTAAAATAGTATGAATTACGACAGTATAATTTAAAATATTAACAGTCAATAAAGAGTAAAATCAGAGACAGAATATACTCAGTACACAGAGATAGCAACAGAGGGTCTCCCAGGATATCGTCCTGTAGTCCTAAACGTAAATGTACAGAGGATCTCTCGGGATATCGTCCCATAGTCCAAATCATAAATATGCAGGGGAAACTCCCAAAATACCAATCCGTAGTCCCAAAGTAAATATCCATTACAATAGAATCTCCCGGGTGTCGTCCCGTAGTCCCAAACGTAAAAGTGTAGGGGGATCTCCTGGAATACTGATCCGTAGTCCCAAATTAAACATGCAGGGGGATCTCCCAGGAAAACCGTCCCGTAGTCCCAAAGTAAACACACAATAGTCTCAAGAAAAGAATCTACAATTCTATTCGAGAATAAATAGAAATTCTACTCTAAACATCCTGCACAGAATACAAGTAAGCAGTTAAAGCAGGTAAGACAATTAAATCACATAAACATGATTTTCCTAAGCTAAACAGGAGTTTTTAAGTACAAGTATTGTTAGATCTAATTTTAATGATGAAAATAATATATTTGCTTCTTGTGTAGGAACTCTTGGATTGGCGAAATCATTGATAAAGGAACGTATGGAAACGTATGGATTGATTTACAAGATTGATGGAATGTAGGCGCGATTAAAGGAAGAAGCAATCAATCCTAAAGATACTGATGGAATCAAGGGACACGATTAAAGAAAGACGAAATCACACAAGATACATATGGATTCAATCATAGCTAAACTCAAGGAATCAGATAAATCAAGATCTTACTGAATATTCATCAAGTGTCTAAATATAGAAGATCAAGATTCCGAGTTCAATAGAGCTGTTGAAGAACAACTTTATTCTTGAAAACTTGGGTTGGCAAATCTCTCCAAAATTCAAGCCTCTCCCTCAAAGTATTTAAACCCGTAATCACACCTCAGCTAGACATACTTTTATCGAACCAAATACCCTCTCTTTGTTCTACTGCAAACAAACATTGTAGCTCTCTAAGATCTGTTGTGTAACAAGTTAGAGAAGAAAGAGAGAACAACACTGGTGAGACATTGTATCAAAAAAGACGAGTGATATAGGAACTAAGCTATCACATCATTTCCTTTGTACTCGAAGAATTGCATTCACTAAAGAGAACTCCCTTGCAACCTAAGGGGACTAGACTAGGATTCACATTAAATCCGAACCAGTATAAAAATTCCGGTGTCTTAAATTCCTGCATTTACTTTCAGCATCTTATATTCTGCTATTACAACTATTAGTTTATTGCATCTAGTCGACTAATTGAAAAATCAGTCAACTAACAGAGATTAAGTTTAAAAATATACAATTCACCCTCTCCCCTCTTGTACTTTTAATTGGTATCAGAGCAAGGCTCACATTTTTCTTTTGCTTAACAGTTTGTGAGAAAAGATCATGGTAAATCAAGTTATCATAGGAGCTCTCTTCCAGGAAGGAACTTCACAAGTTAGACCACCATACTTCAATGGACAATATTTCTCTCACTGGAAAGTGCATATGGAGATCTATGCCAAGACATATGATGTTAAAGTTTGGAGAGTCATCAAAAAGGGGAACTATTCCCTGCCAGCTGCTACTCCACCACTTGCTGATCCTGAAGATATAGATTTGTATACAAAAGAGCAAATGGAGGTGGTACAAGTTAACAATAAAGCAAGAAACCTTCTTTATAATGCCATAAGTGGTGAAGAGTATGAGAAAATTTCTAGCTGTGGCACAACCAAAGAAATGTGGGACAAGCTTGATATTACATACGAAGGAACCAGCAAAGCAAAAGAAACACATATCAACATGTTGGTTCATGATTACGAACTCTTTTCAATGAAAGAAGGAGAGTCTATTGAAGAGATATTTGCTAGATTCCGCAAAATAATTAGCGATCTAAAAGTGTTTAGAAAACTTTATACGAGTGGAGATCAAATCAGAAAAATTCTCAGAAGCCTACCAACCACTTGGCAGACCAAAGTAGTCACACCCTAATATCAGGATCTAAATAAGTTATCCTATGATGAACTACAAGGAGAACTCAGAGACTTTGAAAAGACACATCTCAAGAAGACTAGTCAAGAAGAAAAAAGGAAAATAGTCGCATTCAAGGCCTCAACTGAAATAGCTGAAACTGAAATTGATGATGATCCTGAAGCTCTACAAGAAGAGATTGCTATGCTATCAAGAAACATGGATGGCTCAATGAGAAGATTCAGGAATACGAGGAAAGGAAGAATTCCACCTAGGTGATCCAAGCCATACAATGAACAAGACAAGAATGATGTAAAATGCTATGGGTGTGGAAGATTTGGACACATTCAAACTGACTGCCCAGATCTAATAAGAAAAATTTCTAGAGGTTTTAACAAGAACAAATCCTTTGGAAGTTGGAGCGATGAAGATAGTTCAGAACACGAAGAGATAGCAAATCTTTGCTTCATGACGATTCTGGAAAATGAGATGAACAAATCTTCAGGATGCTGGACGGATGAGGACACTTCAGATGACAAATACAATGATGATAATGAGAACTATTTCATGACACGAGGTGAAACAATTGAGGTAAGATCTTATAACTGTGAAAGATGCAATGAATTGCAGGATATTCTTGATTTAACTTTGTAAGAGTCTCAAAAAATGATAAATGAGCTTAAGAGACTCAATAAAGAAGTTAAAGAGTGGAAACTCAAACATGAAGTATGTGAAATAAAAAAAGAAGTACTTGAAGAAGAGTTTGAGGAATTGCAAATGCAACTCAATGGCATGTGCAAATCCATCAGTCACAGTTCTGTCATGTCAAACTAGGCGACTTACAAGTTAACTGTAAAAGGAGCAACTAGAACAAATCCCACTAGTACTAACACTAATGAAAGACCTAAAAGTGGGTCAGGAGTTACGTGCCACTACTATAACAAAAGTGGACATAAATATTTGTTTTGTCGCTTTCGTAAAGAAAATGTTTCAGGATGGGTTTGGAAACCAAAATCAATTCCTTATCTAGTAATACTAACCCTCCAGGACCCAAGCAAGCTTGGGTACCTAAAAGAAAGTAATCACTATGTTTTGCAGGAACACCACAGAATAAGCCGCAAAGGAAAATGGTACTTAGACAGTGCGTGTTCCAGTCACATAACATGTGATAAAAATCAGTTCAAAGAAGTTACAAAAATTGATGGAGGAAGCGTTAAGTTTGGGGATAACTCAAGGGGAAAGATAATTGGTACTGGAACAATTGCCTTTAATAACAACTGTGACATCACTGAAGTTTATCTCGTTGATGGACTCAACTACAATCTCCTAAGCATAAGTCAATTATACGACTCAGGATATGAGGTAAATTTGAAGAAAACAGGCTGTGCTATTGAAGATGAGACAGGTAAAACAATCCTCCCAGAAAAAAGGTATAGAAATGTTTATATCCTCGATGGTTTTGAAAAGATAGGTGGTCATATTTGCTTAATATCTATGTCTGATTATCCATGGTTATGACATAGGAAACTTGGCCATGCAAGCATGCATTTGATAAAAAAATTGTCTAAATATGAGTTAGTTATTGGTCTACCCAAACTGAATTTTTCTTGATCTCATATCTGTGATGCATGTCAAATAGGTAAGCTGTCACGACCCAAACTAGAGGTCCATGACTAGCACCCGACCATACTTGTCGAGCACCAACGTACATTTTATCTAACCTTCTTTATTATCTTTTAGGGCCTATTATCTCGAAAATGTAGAACCTTAAGAACATAATTTCTACTTGATGCAAACGACATTGGAAGAGGAAACCTATAGGTATGATGTCTATTATGCAGACGAAATCAGATTCAACAAGAGTAAAACCCTATGAACATGTTTTCTATTGAGTAAAGCAGGCAGATTTGAAAGTAAAGCCCTAAGAGCAGGATTTGTACCCATATTACCCCACAAAGTACACATCTACCCACCTTTTTTACTAAATACCCCAAATATCTGTTTACAAATAATTACAGGCCAATAACTGAATTACATAAGTGAAATGGAAAATCAAGAAGCTATTCTATAGAGAGCCTGCAATCGGGCCCAAGTTTCCCAAAGCCTCCAATGGTCTTACAAGCCTCATTTCCACAGACAAATCAAAGTCTAGGTGTATCAAAGTTCCCTAAGGGTCTCAAGGACCCCAGACAATGCTTACACCTAGACTTAATAACCAAACATTGAACCAGTGCAGTGTGGAAAGGCTAGCCTCAGTATGCCAAAGTTCAAAGGGTTCTCAAGAGGATCCCAAGGCAGTACACATACTAGAGGGGGCAGAACTTATTAACTAAGAGTAAAGTGAAAGTGCAGGACACAGGTTGAAAGAAGTTTATTAAAGACTGGACCTAAAAGTCTGTTTTGAAAGCAATCAGTAAAGTAATAGAGGTTGTTGGAAAGAGGTTGGAGTGGTAAACAAAATCAAGCACTTCAGGGTAGGATCACACATAGAATCCAAATGGATTCAGTAGTCACACAGGGGTCAAAGGGTTTGGGGATATTCAGACACTTAACTGCAGACACATAACCCCAGTAGGGGTCTTAGCACTGCTTTAGACATGGTTAGAGATAGTTGACACTGGCATAATCACAAACCATTCATGAGGAACATAAACACATAGAGAGGGATAAGGATTTGGGATTCACAAAAATGGTAAGTACAAAGTAAGTAAAACAATTGTCCAGGCATGCTTTGATTCACATAAGGGAATACATCGATCTAAAGGGAGGGGAGTCATACTAGCACGCAGATAATATAACCTAACTACAAACTTCACAACAAAACCACAAGTAAAAGCAAGCTAGAAATAAAAGAAACCGAAACAAGAAGAGAAACATGTTGTTGTTGAGGCTCTAAATTAAACTAGGACATATCAGTGAAGATAGAAGTAAGCAGAATGAAAGAACCAAAGAACACAGAGGATTAGCCTTGGCTTGCAACCGACTAATAGTAGCAAATAACACAAGAGAGGGGGAAGAATAAGGATTTTTAATAACAAAGGAGTTTTGAAAAACCAAGTGTCTGTGTTTTGTTTGTAAAAGACTTAGAGTATTTATAATTGAGAGTAGGTAGTGGACTAAGGTAAAAATCATAATAGTATACTAATTTAAGAACTCAGAATCAATCAATTAGAGAATAAAGGAAGTACTTCCTTAAGTTAAGGGAATCAAGGTCAAACGGAAAGATTCAGTACCATATAAGACAGGAAGAAGAATCAGTGCATGATTAAATAAGGAATGAGTCAAGGTTCAGTAGGCATAGAGTAGTCAATTAGGACAAAATTCAGAAAAACCCAATAAAGGAAAGACTAAGTAAAACAAAGTACCATAGTAGATAAGGTAATGAAATCAGCTAATTTATACAGAGGAGGTAAAGCTTTTAGGGCTTTAAAAGAAGATCTTTCAATCACCATCAATTAAGGAAAATCAGAATCAATCATGGGGAGTCATGATTCTATCTTCTCAACATTTAAATAGAGATGAATGAACAAGAGTAGCAAACAAACAAGGTCGGCTATATAGACAGAAAGAAACAAGAGATCAACAAACACAATCATATAGAGGTTATATAAGTAGGCTAAAGATTCAGTAGAACATATTTGAAGCATGGTGACCATGAGAGATTAACAAGGATTAGGTAAATAGGCTAACACACAGAACCAAGGCAATAGGCTAAAGATTCAGCAGAACATATTCGAAGCATGGTGACCACGAGAGATTAACAAGGATCAGGTAAACAGGCTAACACACAAAACCAAGGCAAAGAAAATCATGCTAACACACAGAACCAAGGCAAAGAAAATCATGCTAACACACGGAACCAAAGTGAAGAAAATCATGCTAACACATAAGAACAAAGTAAAGAACATCATGCTAACCTACATAATCAAAGCAAAGAAAATATTAAAAAATTAGGGCTTTTAACAGAGTTGAGTTAAAAAGTAGTAGGAGCATAGAATCGATCAAAATAAGCAAGGAAAAAAGGTTTAATCATGAAGAAATCAGTTGGAATAGGTGTAGAAAGAACTCCTAGAAAACCCTAGCTATTGAAGAAAGTAAAATGGTTTAAAAATGAGGAGCTTTCAGTAGAAGTTCAAAAAATAGGCAAATCATAGAAGGAAATAGGCTTAAAGCATGAAAATAACACATATCTGAGAGATTCAGAAGAGAGTTAGGGTTTCAAAAGGAAACTCAAATGGAAATCGAAAGAACCTGTTGCAAACTTCACCGATCGTGACATATAAGGTGTGATTTTGCCCAAAATCACACCGGAGAAGCCATAAGTAATAGAAACAGAAACCCTAGGTCCAAATCGACATGGCCCAGGACCCTTGAATGCCTTAGAGATGATGAGCAAGGCGATGAGAGACCCATTGGAGGCTTGGGTTGAAAGGGTGGTCGCCGGAGATGACCGGAGAAGGAGGCGATTGATAGAGTCTAGGGTTAGGTTGAGAGAGAAGAGAGGAGATGAGAGAGTTTAAGCGCGGTGGTTTAGAAAAAATGATTTAGGGTTTGGGGTCTCTTAAAATTAAAAAGGGAAAGTCATTTATGGACCGTTGATTTAGGAGATCAACGGTCATGATTCAACCGGGTAGGTGGGTTCCGGGTTTGGGTAAGGGTTAATGGGGTCTGGTTCGGGTTATTAAAATAGAAAATTGGGCTGGGATTGGGGTCTGATTTGGCTAAAATTGAAAGCCAAATCTGGCTATTATTTAAATAGCCAGTTTTCCCTATTTAATTTATAAAAATAATAGGTAATTTCTAGAAAATAATTTAAGGTGCAAAAATGATTTAAAATACATAATTATCATTTTAAAAATATAGAGACCAATTTTATGCATATAAAATATAATTATACCTTAAAATGAGCTAACATTGCAATCATATGCAATTTAGTTTAAAAAATACTAAATGTGATTGTACAAAAACATAAAAATTACATTAGCCATATTTTGGCATAAGTATAGAAACTAAATAAATGAATTATCAAAACAATAATTTTGGAAATAATTATTGGGGATTTTATGGATAAAAGGGGAGAAAATAAATCAATTTAAACCCTTAAAATTATGGGAAAAATAATAAAAGCCTTGTGCATGATTATATATGACTATATATACTATTTTGAAGGTATTTATGCATATTTAAAATATATACGAAAAAATTGGGTATCAACAGCTACCCCTCTTTACCCGAGAAGGATGAAAGAGTTTTCGGGTAAAGAAATAATGGCCAATTTTGACTGGATGGGATGTTTTGAAAGACAGAGGTTGAGCTCCGATTTTCGACTTGCCTACATATCCCTGGTTTTATAGGAATTAGGCCATGTGTAGTTCTGGATTCACCTGCAGAGTATGCCGATGAAATTATTGTAAGAATGGACACGAGATATGGAAGCGACTACGATTGGGACGGTCTGAAGGAACCGGAGCAAGATCGCTCTTGCTAGGATAGCAGTTGCTTATTGGTTACCTATAGATAAAAGATGCTACAATCATATTTGCGAGAGTTTAAACATGATGCAAATTCCCTTCGGACCATGAAGGTTGTCTTCGGATGGTTAAAGATGACGTCCTTGGACGATGACGTCCTGGGCCATGAATTGTTTAATGAGGGATTTGCAGGTCATGAAATGAGTTCTCGGGCCATGAAAATATTGCCTCCGAACTATGACGCCTTTGAATAATGATATGCAAGTTCGAGAGATCCTCAGGCCATAGCATGGTGTCTTCCGGCTATGAGGATGGTGCCTTTAGACTATGACACCTTTGGACAAATTGGCGATATTCCAGCCCATGAGATGCAATAATATGATATAACAAGACAAGGCTTAGTCTTGTAAATGAAGGGTAGAGCTTAGCCCGATCGAAAAGCAAGTAGATGGTAGTAGAAAAATAGAGCGACATTGGTGAAAATGAGGGACAATGCTTAGTTCCGTGAAAGTGGGGAGGCATGGATTAGTATTATGCAAAGGGGAGGCAAGGATTAGCCTCATGCAAGTATTAGACTCATGCAAGATTGGAGACAGGGCTTAGTCTCATTCAAGCGTGGAGT